TATTAATTAAAACTGTAAAACTTTTTCTGCGATATTAGTTGTGCTGGTGCATTATTAATTATAGTTATAAAAAGATCAAAATAGAGTAATTTATTTTGTTTTTATAATTCTATGTGTTTTTATTTCTTATTATATAAAAAATTTTATATAGATACTAATAGTCATGAAAATGTGATAAATATAAATTAAGCTATAATAATATAAAATAAATAAAGATTTATCTGTAACAGATCTGTAAAACATGAATTAAATAAAGTGTTTATTCATTCTTAATGCTAAATAGTTCTTTAAAACTTTATTTTAGTTTTTTTTTAATTACCATTTTACCAAGTCCCCAAAATTACCTTACCATTTACCATAATTTACCAAATAAATTATCGCCAGATTGGGTCATTTTCATCTCTAGTCAGAGGTCTATTCGCCGATGTAAACTATGTCATTTGCAGATAAAATAAAGAATAAGTTTGTATACCTTGCCATCATAAGTGTTTACAAAGGCTTTATAAACATGTTCCATTGCGTCATTTAACAGCGTACACGCCTCCTTAGCAGCTGCAGAAGTGTTTCCGTGCAGATCCAAGACTGGTTTGAGTGCCGACACCACCAGCCAATAAACATCCGTGCCAGAATCGTGCTTCTTCGCAGAGAATGCATTGTCAGCGATAGCGTGGAGAAGCTGTATCTCCTCGACGAACTTGCTATCCTCCTCAATCTCTGAATTCAGAGTCTTCAACTTCTCCATGTTAGCAGGCTTAAGCTCGCCGAGAGCTGACTGGCCGAGCTGATATTAGAAAGATCTTAATTATAGACAGGCATATCTTTAATAAGAACTCAAAATTGCTAAACCAAGATTTGTTTTTATGTCAAAAGCTATTTGTTATCCGTCAATACATCATCTATTTAATACTTACAGCATCAACTCCATCACTCAAATTAATCCTGACCAATGTGTTGTCATTGCTTCGTTCCTCCACTCTACTTCTAATCGCCTGCCAAGTGGTCTCTTCTCCTTCATCAACGATCAGAGAATATGCGACTTTAGTGTTGTCTTTTGGAAAAGGCAGTTGCTCCACTCCGTCAACCGATATAGCAACTAATGCCCTGGGCATTGAAAATGGATCCCATATGGCAATGCTATGTTCCGAATCCTTCTGTAAAATCACACGTTCCTCTCACAATGACCAAATTTTCAAATAAAACATATGTTGTTTCAAAGGAAACTAGACCCTCAAGAATGTAGGTTTCAAAGATTAAACTTAAAAAAATTCTGTTCTTTTTCATTTATTTAACGTTTCTCTTCATGTGCCATATCCGATCTCCCAAACGTAGGCGATCTCTTCTGTATATATCTGTATCATAGATTATTTACAAAAATTTAAAGCTTTACTGTTCGAATGCTTTAAATATTTATTCAAAGCTTTGTGGTATTCAAGAATTTAAACAGTTCTATCAAAAAATTGAAGACAACATACTTGCTTTGCAGTATAACCAAGAGCTTCTGACAAGATCTCCTTAAGGCTGCTTTGCTCAATCTCTCCATTTACAGTAAATTCTACGCTGTCAGGTGAATGAAGAATGACAAATTCGCCGCTGGCATGGGCTAGAAAGGCAAGCACTAGGATAATCAGAGTGTAAGGGTGATACAAGTACATTGAACAAAATTCTGCCTTTAGTAAGATACATATTTTAGCATACTCAAAATGTTCAGGAAAGGATCTATTTCATTAAAAAAAAAATTTTTAATGAAATTAAATTCAAAACATTTTGAGTATTTCGTGAATTTTTTGCGAAAATATCTTAAAAATGGGTCGGCTCCGGCAGCCAAAAATTTGATCGCAAAAAAACTTATAAGCATTCTGATCGTTCTGGAAAGAATTTCTCGAGAGTGAAGCAGAATGAAGAGAGAATTACCTGCGGCAAGGATGGCGAAGAGCAGCGATAATTGTGGAAGCATCATTACGCGCAAAAATAATGAAATTCGAAAGACACTCCCGTCGATCAATTTCGGACGTGATCATGTGATCACGTCAGATACATGTGACAGATTCTGTATACTAAAACCACAATATAATGACCATGTTCCGATATACTGGATTGCGTTCAGAAACTACGCCTAGGTGCGTCTAGATATCATTTTGTCCTTGTTTAACATTCGGTGAATAACAAGGATAAAATAATTTGTACCGTGAATTCCTGAACGCAGCCCTGGCTCCGCTTGATGCTGCAAATGCTTCGAAGCATTTGTAGCCTCAAGTGGACTGCATCCAGTCCTTTGAGTATACAGGGTGTCCCGTAACGCTTAATTAATATTTCAAGGCGTGAAAGAGAATGAAATTTTGAACTAAAAGTTCCTCTTTCAATTTTGGCTCAGACCATTATTTACAGAGTTATTAACGAATAAATTTAATCAATCAGATCGCGTTTAGCCGGAGTACGCAGGAGCGTAGTG